GGGGGAGGGATGAAGGCCTGCCAGCGCCTTAGGAGTCTGGATCGGGGGTGGGGCTGTACTTCTGCGAGCCGAAGCTGGCGAGCCGGACGGAATTGGGGTCTGGGGGGGTAGGAGGAGAGCTGGATGGGATACAGGACCAGCTCCTGCGCTTGCCCTTCGATGCCGGGGCGCAGCACCTTCTGCTCCAGTTCTTCGGCATTTGATCAGCGGTGGTCTTTGTGATTAGAAGGGGAGCCCAGTGGCGCGATGCTGCTCACTTGAAAACAAGGAACCGGGTCAAAACCCCCTTGACTGTGAAGGTCCTTGTTATCCAGGGGGCTTGCTGTCCAGGGGGCCTGCTTTCAGCATTTTCCTGGCCTCCCTCCCCTTCAAGTCCCCCTCAAATCCCCTTTGACAAAATGTCAAAAGGCCAACCCACCCATCAAAGTAAGATGGAGAGAGTTTGCAAAGATAGGGTCTGAGTTTTCTTGGGGATCAATTTGGGGGAGATTTTTGAGCTCAGAATTTGAAAGCATAGGCTTGCGGTGGTGTAGATGCTGTGTTGTTTCTCTGTCCCTCTGATCTGCCTGGTGCCCAGATAAGGGGCTGAAGTGTCCTGTATGCCTGCTGGAATTCGAGGAACAGGAGGGGGTGAGGAAGATGCCCTGCCAGCATCTTTTCCACACAGGCTGTATCCTTCCCTGGCTTGGAAAGGTGAGAAGCAGGGAGGGAGATGGGAAGCTGTTTCCCCGGCCTCTCCCCAGACACAGGTGCTCACACTTTTCTCCTGTCCAGACAAATTCATGCCCACTGTGCCGCCATGAGCTGCCCACAGATGATGAGCAATATGAAGAGTACAAGGAGGACAAGGTGAGTGTGGAAGGCACTGGTGCTGGGTTGAAACAGCAGCAGCCAGCTGCTAAGCAGCTCTACCTGGGTTGGAAGGACCCTGAGTTCACCTGGGGCCCAGAGCAGGCTTCCTTCAACCCTCCCCAAGACTGGGAAGCCCACATGCATCCAGAAACTCACCAGCAAGCAGGGACCACAGCCGGCCGATGGGTTACAGGAGCAAAGGCAAGGTGGACAATGTAATCTGCTGCTGGGAACGCTGGATAGAAAGATGCCGTGCTGCACCGTGTGTTGCAGGCCCTCACTTCACATTTGGTTATGGTATTTATAAAACCTTTTCAGGCAGATCTGACAGAGCCATTTAGATCAGAACATGGAAATGAGGAGGAAGCGTCAGGAGTGATTGTGTTACATTGTGACTACGGATATATGTGGTTACTCCCTTTTGCATTGCTTTCCATTCTGGTTCGGCAGGAACCTGTAAGCAAAGCAACTGTTCCACAAGGCACCATGTTGCTCCTGCCTTCATAATTTTGGCATCTTATCCCCGTGCTGTGGCATGAGAAACCGCAAAGTCTAGGGAGGGGTGATGTGCTGAGATTTGGGGTTCACAGGACGAACGCCTCTATTTTAATCTTCAAGGTTCGGAGGCAGCAGCAAGCACAACGACTGGAATATCTACATGGCATGATGTACACATGACCCCGCAGTGTTGCCATCGTTGTCTGGTGCAAACAACAGGGACTTCTGCAGTGGCAAGGGACAGATGCAGCTTTGGGGGGCAAGAAAAGCAGCACTTGGAAGGGACACCCTCTGCCCCTTCTCCTCAGGAGTAAACATGCAAACATTCTAAGTGCTTTTTCTTTCCCTAAGCCAGTCCCCAAACACACACAGCTCAGAGGTATTATTGAATACCTAATAAATAAATAAAGATTACACATGCCTGTTTTCTGATGCTGAGGTTGTCTGGAATTGCTGGGGCAGAGATGAGGGGAAACTGCCTCCCAGTAGGCCATACGCAAGGAAATTAGTGTTGTTTATCTCCACTTTTTCCCTTTTCTTCTCATATCACATCCTGCCACGCTAATTCCTACAACTTGCAAAAGTCCAGCATAGAACTAGCTGCACATTGGAAATTATTCTGCAGCTGCTTTTCACTGAAAGTTGCACCAGCTTAGCCAGATGTGGGGGAGAGGAGGCAAAGTATGGTTAGAAAGTTGCTGTGGAGGCAGAGCTGCTGTGAAGGGCCACCTCAGCTTATGATCACTTTGCCTCACACTTTGTTCCAGGGTGGGAGAAGGTTGGGGTGTCTGGTTCATGTGTGTAAAATATGTAGGACCACAAGTCCCAGTGGGACGAGATGAGGCCAGCCTGCCATTCACAACCCCAGGGCCAGGAAGGGCACTGGCTTCTAGCAGCCTCTGGCCAAGATCCCTTCTCTGCCCAAGTCAAATGGAAGAACCCCAACCAAGACCTCCCTCTGTTAAGCTGGATTGCAGAGATGCTGATTCGGCTATTTAATTAACCAGGCATTTTTTGGGAGACCAACTGCCAACTGGCACAGTCCTTCAACTTATCTCCTTCAGAGGATGGAGGACAAGTTATCTTGACATGAAAGTAAACAATTGGCTTCTGTGACCACCTTGTCTGGAGATGCCTGACTCCACCGTTATGGCTGGGTCATATGGAGCAGCAAGTTGTAGCATTTTTATCAAGCTTACAGACCCCCTTGTATCATAGCATCAACACCTTAACTTTGCAGAACAAGGAACTATTCTGTCACACAACTCTGAAGTAGATATGGGTGGCAGGAGGAACCCTGCAGTTAATCCAGGACACCAAGATGGAACATTTTCCTCAGCAAAAGTATGAGTGGAAACAAGTGGGATGTTATGTCCATGTGCTAACCAGATGTTGAGCCAAGCTTTGATGTGGGTAACAGAGAACCTGGAAGGCAAAGGGGGGTCCTTGGGGTAAACCTCACCTTGCCTTCTGCTGCCCTGGGGAAGTGCTTCGAGGGAAAAGTTCCCCCAGCTTAGCAAAACAGATCCTTAACACAAAAAACACCCTTGTGCACCACACAGGAATCCTTCTCTGATAACTTTTTATACATATTTTATATAGATAAAGATATAAAAAAGTTCTAAAAAATACCAAACCATTTTATCCAGGGCTGAAGAGATGAAAACTCTGTATATTAGGAATGAAAACGTTTAGTGGGTGGGGGTACTCTCTCCCTTGCCCAGTTCCAAATCCTACCACCACTTCAGATTTATTTTCTTAAAAGGCATGGAAAAAGATGAGGAATGTTTCCACTAGCACAGGGGGCTTCCCCCATAATATATTTCCTTCTGCAGCTTAAGAAACACTCTTCCCCCCCCCAAAAAAAGGGGTGGCCATGAGGCACAAGTTTTGCCAGAGGAGCCTGGGTTCTTGGGTACCCCAAATATCTGAAGCTGGCCAGAGGACCCTTTTGGCTCTGAGGCGCTCCCTGAAGGGTGGCAAGCGATCAGGAGATCAGACTCTGGTAGGCAAAGTGCCACAAGGCTGGGCAAAGAGATCCACTGTATGTTTGGAAGATGGACCATTTCTCAGAGGGGCTGGGAGTGGGCAGCAATATATTCTTTAAAAAACAATCTTGGTATAAAAATTGTCAGGACGGAGCTGACGCCCTCTTCCCCTTCAGGGAAACAAAGACAGCCTGCCACAGTAGCAGAAAGGATGGGATGAACCTGCCCTCTCTCCTGGCACCCTCATATCATGGCAATGCTCTCTGGGTGGCAGTTCAGGTGGGTGGAGGTGCTGCTGCTGCCTGGCGACTTGCAGCCTCTGCCATTTGAGTGCTGCAGAGCAGCCACTAGGGTCTCGTTGGAGACGGCACCAAACTCGTAGGTGAAGGTTCCATAGAAAACGAGGATGTCAATGACAAAGACCCATTCACAGATGGCAGCCAGGTGCTGTAGGAGGAAGCTCTCATGGATAAAGAAGATGCCACCTGTAGCAGAGTCAAGGGAAGGTCAGGGAAGAAGACGCCCTCACCCAGAGGATGCAGGGTGCCCAGGCAGGGAAGCTGATGGCAGTGCTGTTCCCAGGGTGGCTCAGAGAGCAGAAACAGCGCCTCTTCTATGTGGGAATGAAATCTGGGCTTGGCCAGGGATCTTACAGCACATGGTTCTTCTGCATGGGGGAGATTTGTGCCTACAAGCTTCTGAGAAAGCACAGGAGCTAAAGAGGTGGGCAGATACATGATGTCAGTTGGAGGAGAAACAGGACAAGGGGACTCTCGGCCTCAGGGAGACCCTCGGCAAGCAGAGTTCTGCGACGCAGGAGAGCACTCTCCGAAGCCCCTCGCCCATCACAGCCTCTCCCCAACCAGCACGTTGCCAGAAAAGGATACTGAGGACAAGGGAGATGAAGGCCACAGTGGTGAGGAAAACACGTAGATGTGCCATCCAGAAGTCCAGGGAAGAGACAGCAATGTGATAGGAGAGGAAGCACTGGAGGCAGACGAAAAGCAGACCCGCTGGGAAGGCAACTCCAGCTCCAATGTAGTGAAGAGACTTGGCATAATCCACCTGAAGGCAGTGGCAAGCCCAAAAAGAATGGTTCCTCTTGGGTTTCTACGAGCAAGATCTGCCTCAGCGCCAAGCTGGGCAACTAAGCAAAGGGCTCCCCCTTACAGTTAAAGTGGGGGCTTCCTGCCCAGGACACATCTGGCTCCAATTAAGCCACTGAGGCAGAACCCTGATCCACTCTCCCACCCTAATGGAACGCAACACACACTGCCACAGTGTGCTTTGTGGGAGGCTGTCATCCCCACAGCTTCAACTCCTCCCCCCCACCCCCCGCCACCGGAAAGCAGCAGTTGCCTCTCGGGGAACACAAATATCCTGCAATGTGGAGAGCTGTCATGGAGACAGGTTAGCGTGACAAATGCAGCCACAGGTTTAACTGTGACGGAGATATCCGCTCCCACCCTCGCAACGCTGAATGGCCTGGCCAGAGAGGAGTTCTCTGCCCCCTCCTAGAGTGCATCTTCCTTGCAGCCCCGCATTTACAAAGGCCTTCCTTGGGAGGTGGGCCAGACTGGCTCGGGTTTTTAAAGCAAATGCAGCGTTACAGTGGCATTTATTGCCTGATTCCAGCTGAATGATTTACCTGCTTTTGTTGAAGTGTGGGAAAAAATCTGCCACTCAACCCCTTCTCTCAACCCACCTGAAAATTCCCGACCACAACAAGGCCAGCTGCGTTGGTGCAACCCGTGACAAGGGCTGCCGTGTTCACCCTGGATGCTTGGCTCTGCTCTAGGAGTTGCCCGTAGCGCAGGAAGCAGACGACTGCCACTAGGAGGGAGACGAGAGAGCAGGCAAGTCAAGCTCAGCGTGCAAAGCAGAAGAGAACAAGTTCCCGAACCTCAGGGGGTGACCTTCGCAAGGACAGAACCCCACAGATGCGTGCACAACAGGGCACAGTCAAAACTAAGCAAACTATGTTAAGCCTTAATACGTTGTGTGAACCCAGCTGGCTGGTTTATCAACACAAACTAGGACATGCAAAAACATAACACCCTAAGTTTTATGACCATGAATTCCAGTGAGCACAACATTCCAATGAAAAGAAAAATGGGGGGCGAGGGGGAGAGGGAGGGGTGAGCTTAGAAAAGCATGTGGATGCACAAAGAGGGTGTTTGAGCTATGAGTTGGCAGCAACATGTATAGGAAATGGAAGGTGGGTGTAATCAAGGAAGAATATTAGCAAATAACTAATATCGGGAGACATTCAGAGAGGCTAAAGCACAAAGGGAACTCAGGCTTTTAGAGGGACTTTAAGAGCAATGAGAAGGGCGTTTGGGACCATGTCAGTCTCAAAAGTGGTGGACCTGAGCTAGGAGAACATGGACAATTAACAGGTAATAGAAACTGGGCAGAGCTTCTCAATTCCTACTTTGCTTTGGTCTTCTCCCCAAAGGGGATCTGTGATCAAACAGAACTGACAAATGGAGAAAGTGGCAACTCAAGTGAAGCAAAGAAATGGTCAGGAGGGAGGGACAGGACTGGGCTCTGCAGGAATCTTGATGAAGCTTGTAGGGATCATTTCAGAGCCCCAGAAGACTGGAGCGTTCCTATCTTCCGAAAGGGGGGGAAGCGGCCCCTGGCAACCATGGGCCTCTCTGCTTGATGCTTATATCTGGCAGATTTCTGGAACTGGTAAGTTTGTGAGCCTTTGGACAAGAATATATTGCTTGGCAAGAGCCAACATGGATTTCTCAAGAAGGAACCATGCCAAGTCAATACACCAGTTTAGATGGTCATGTGAATGTGGTGGACATACAGTACCTTGTCTTCGGTAAAGCCTCCCATCCAATTCTAGTAGGAAGTGGCCAAACATGGGCTGGACTATGTCACCATTAGGAAGATAAAGGGTTGCTCAAACAATCATACTGAAACTGGATGTTAATGACTTTACATCAGACTGGAGGGGTGTACTGATTAACAAATTAACAGACAACACAAAGTTAGGAAGAAAGAGCAAACACATTCAAGGACCAGATGAAGATTCAGGAGGATCCACACCAGGAGACCTTCCACCCGGTGTAGCAGTTAAGCTGCTGGACTAGCACTGGGGAGACCAAGGCCTAATTCACCCTCAGACATGGGAGCTCACTGGGTGACTTTGAACCAGTTGCTGTGGGGAAAATAGAGGGAAGGACCATTATGTATGCCCAAGGGGGAAATATAAATTTAATCAGTATACAGTATAAGATTATAAATCAGCAAGATGAATTTCAAAAGGAACAAATACAAAATCCTGCATTTGAGGAAGAACATGAAAAATATGAATCCAGTATGGGGGAGACCATACTGGACTGCTATATGTGTCAAAAGGATCTGGGTATCTTGATGGATCACAAGCTGAACATGAGCCAAGAGTGTGATGCAGCTGCAAAAAGAGCAAATGCAATTGTAGGCTGCATCAACAGAATACAGTGTCAAAATTAAGAGAAGTCATTGTCAGACACATCCAGCATATTGTGTCCAGTTCTGAACACTGCATTTTGGCAAAGACTTTGACAAACAGTAGTGTTCCCAGAGGACAGCAACAAAGATGGTAACAGGCCAGGAAAGAGGTGCTTGGAATGCTTTGCCTGAAGAAGAGAAGATATCTGCTGTTCCTGCCCCCTAGAGCCCCGCTGCCTGCATAGTCCTGACACCGGTGTCTTTCAGGAAGTTGCAAAGGCCTGACTCGTCCAGCAGGTCCAGTTAACCCACTAGTATGAGAAGACAATTTAATTTTCTTTCTTCCCATCATGGGCTGTTTGCTATTTGATTAATCTTTTATTATTATACTGTGTTTTTCATTTGTCCTGTACGCCACCTTGAATTGTTTGACAATTAAGTGGCCTTACAAATCCAATAATGTAAGTAAGTAAGTAACTGGACAGTGCCATGTAGAAGACAGGGCAGAAGCCATGGGTTAAAATACATGGAATGAGATTTCAGTTGGGCAAGAGAGAAATTTCCTAACCATAAATGTGGTTCAGCGATGGAACAGGCTGCCAGGGGAGTTGGCAGACATTCCTATGCTGGAGCTGTTAAGCAGAGGCTGGATGGCTATCTGTCTGGGTGCCCCAGTGGTGGATTCCTACACTGGGCAGCAGGATGGACTTTGATCCCTTCCAACCCTTCCTCTAGGTGGATCTGTTATTCTCTGATGTACACAGGTGATACTTGTTGGAACCCCAAATGCCAGGGGTCCAGGGCGGGATGGAGGAAGGCAAACCTCCATGATGTGAAGATCCAAATTTTGCAAAAAAGCTCAGTTAGCAGAATTTCTGGAGGAAAGAATGCTCTATCTCTTTCTATAGACTACTTCACTGATTTATTTAAAATATTTCTATCGTGGCTTTCTTCCACATGGCACACTCAAAGGGAGTTTGGATTATATGGATGTTGAATTTTAAAAGTTTAGCTTGAAGGATATTGAGACCTGTTTAGATGCTTAGAGCAGATCAGAAGTTTCCTGTATATTAAATGAAAATTAATTCTGTACATTATTAACCAGCCTCTCTCTCTCTGCCGCTTTTGATTACCTCCTATTTTAAAAGGAGGACTGATCTTGAAAGCTAAACACCTGCTCTGGAAAGTCCTGCTGCCTGGGATCATATCTCAGGCAGCTGTTGATTGAGTCCAGATGGCCAACCCTGGGACTGGCATCCTGCCACCAACTTCTCAACATGGTTATGAAATTGGGAAAAGAGAGGGAAACAAATACTTACCCAAGAAAGCTCCAATGTTTCCAATAAGGCTGAAGAGACAGCTCTCAGGAGGGTAAGTGCCACATTTACTAGAGGAAAAGAGAAGAGGATTAGCACAGGTTAGAAACCAGCAAGTCATTCTACCCATTTGCTTTGAAGCTGCCCAGTTTGGAACTGCCTGGCACTGTTTTATGACGCCACATCTAGAACGGCAAATGCAGCCGTTGGCTCATTCTCTGCAACGCAAAGCTCACCTGATCAAAGGGATATCTTCCAAGGTGCAGCAGCTTTTGGGGTAGCCATGTTTGGTAGAATCAGCAGAACAAGACTCGTTGTATGACCTGCAGCCATTTGGAGAGAGTAAGTGGTATTATAAGAGGCTCCAGGAAGAAGAAACACAATGACCTCCACTATCCCACTAACAGGATGTCCTCCTGCTTTCCAGCACAACTCACCAGTTCTCAACAGGGCACACGTGGTGGTTCACTACTGCCATGGCATACCTAGAAGAAGCAAAATGGAACAAAATGGGTGTTAAGACAGCAAGAATTGAGTAAGTCTGAAAACAAGCAGATCCCTAATATTTAAGGAAGTCCATATTAGCCTCCCTCCCTTGGCTCTCCAGCTGATTGCTCAAAGTTCTCAACCAATCAAAGCAACAACAATAGCAAATCAGTTGAACAAACTGTGTCTTTAAATTCCACTGAAATGGTCGAGGATGCAGATTTCCAGGCAGAGGCCTCCTTCAGCCTAGTCAGAGCCAGAACTCCCAAGTGGGTCTCATCCTCAGGCCCACAAAGTATTTAGAAGAAACCAGTTTCACCTTCCAAGGGCCAGTTTAGCGAGACAGAAGATTACAGGCGAACAGGACCGTGATGAGGGCATGGATCTCATTCACCTCCCCATCTAGGGATTGCTCACTGATCTTTCCCTATGGGCCTTTCAACCTCTCATTTACTGAAAAAGGGTGTGACACCCTTCAGACAAGACGGGGAATTCCTGGCCCACTAAGGATATATTGTCAAGATCCAGTACACTACCCTGAGACCGGAAACTTCCATCCCTGAAAAACAAGCTGTACAAAATTTCCAGCAAACCAAAAAACTAGAAATTTAAGTCTCAACGGGTTCCTGCTGTTTGCTCAGAGAACTGGCCCAGCTGGGAATAATACTGAAGTTAGGACAATTCTTTCAAAGCAGCCCTCAGGAGGCCAGATAAGAATCTGACCTTTGCCTGCCTTCCCACACAGCCAACCTCTGCGCTTAAGCTTAGCTTGCCTTTGAGAATATAGCAATAAAAAGCTCCAAATTTGGGTTTCTGCCCAAGATGAACACTAAAGTTTTGGGGGGCTGTAATAAAAAGGGTACTGACATTTGAAACTGGGATCCAGAGGAAAAGCTTAAAAACCTGTTGCTGTAAGCACTGCAAACCCGTCCTTAAGTCTTACATCATTTTGTTTCACCAATTTTCTGTGGATGCCTGAAAACTGGTAAGTTGAATGAGACCCATACATATGTTTGTGTGCTCAAAGTTATGGTAACCATCTAGAAATCTAGTTGGTTTACAAGCACCAATGATAAAATCACCTGCCCAAACTACAAGGATACAATGTCCAGACACGGTGGAAATACACAATTGGTAGTAAACTTTGGAATGGTCTGAGGGTGTTGATTTTGGGGTGCTCCATATCTCCCTTTGGAAACCCAGGTATTGGGGTAAGTACTGGTTTTTAGCTATTTCCCCTGAACCCCAGTTTGTTTATTTGTTCAATTTGTATAGCTGCCCATCTTACATTTGTGACTCTGGGCAGCTCACATAATTAAAAACAACCAGACAACACAACCAATAAACAAAATGCAAAAGTCGACTAAAAAACAATCATCCCACCTGGGCTGTTTAAAGCTGTCATTTGCCAGGAAGTCTCACCTGCCTCCCCAAAGGGGGTGGGCATTTCCCCCTGGAGAACCTTTTGGACAGAGTAGCCTGTCCAGAGGCAAGGGCTGGCTGATAGCCGCCACAGTCCTTTCTCCTGAACTGAAATCTCCTCCATGCCTTCCTGGCCCAAAGGCCAGGTCAGCAAAACACTGGTGTGCCCAGCAACCAGCTCTGGCACCATACCACTCTCTAATGTGGGGGTGGGCCAGGCCAACAACACGGATAAATCTTGACCATTATACTGAGTCTGAATAAACAACTGGGGAGCTGCTCAGTTTAGTTATCAAAATCACCATGTCAACGTTGCTTAGAAAAGGCCCCCCCCCCCCCCCCCGCTTTTCAACAAAGCTGCAGTTGCTGCAGGAAACACTTTGCTTTGGGGCCAGAACTTCTCCTCCTTCAAATGTAATTTTGCTCTGTGTGATGTTAAATAGTAAATTGCTTTGGAGGAACAAAAAGGCAATTGAGCAATAGTTGTAATAAACATAACCCCCCTATTCTTCCAAGTGGAGGCACAGTGCAAAGCTTCCTTTGCAGGCTCTGGTGGAGGAGGCACTTCCATGCTGTCTGCAAAGGGTCTTTCCCTCCTCCCCTTCCTGAGGCCGGATGGAAAGGTCTTCTCGGTGGCAAAAGCTGGGTAAGGCAAGAACACACCCTGTCTGGGGCTCTTTCTGGAAAAAAGACAAGGCGCTATTGTGCAGCCATCCCCTGGTCACTGCAAACTTGCTGCTATTCCTCCCCACACCCCTCGCTCTGTTTGTGCTACAAGGAAGAAGCCTCATGGCTTAGACGTATCAATCAAATCATCCTGAGGAGCAGCACGTACTAAGATTAAAGTTGCAGTTCAGCAACAAGCGACACCACCTTTTGCGATCAGCCTGCCCTGTTCGTGTGGGACCTCGAGCCAGAGAGCCAGTAAGTTCTAAGTATGTACTGTATTTGTATCCTCCCAAGAGCATCATGATAAATGTAGCCATGATGTGGCCAGGTGAGCCATGTTAGACCCAACCTGGCACTGAAAGATCAAGGGCCTCCTTGCTGCTGGCCTACAAAACCATGGAAGCAGCGGCCTCGCAAGTGAAGCTCTGGCTAACCCAGACCTTGAAGTGAGCTGGGGCAGGAGGAGGAAGTAGCCACAAACTGCCCTTTGCATAGGGGACGTGGACATGATCTGGCTTTAGGTCCCTTGTGGTCTCCAGCACATTCAATTCCAGCCTCTATTCAAAATGCAGAGAGCTACACAACGATCATGTTCCTTCATGAATTATAGCATATTCAGGCCATGACTTGGCAACACATTTGCTAAGTAACCTTTGGGCATGTAACTCTGCCAGCAGGTTGCCCAAGAGAATTGCTGACACAATTCTGCAGCAACATTTGGAGCCCAGGGAGTAGCAAAAGAACCTTGTGCTTCTCTATAGGAGGACACAAGCGTGCAAGCTCCACTTTTCATGCATGACCCAGCCATAAATCACAACAGCTCTTACACGATCCATATTCCAGTGATTGAGAAGGCAGAGAGGCTGATGGGAAGGATGATCCACGCAGTCATTAGTGAGTACAGGAAGGGGACCCTTAAGAGGGGGAGGGGAGGGGAGGGAAGGGGAGGAGAGGAGAGGAGGGATGGGATGGGAGGGACCTAGCTATAGCCCAAGGTCTCCAGCTGGAATCATCCAAAGACACCTCCTAGAAGAGAAGCAGGGAAAAAAAAGATGGGTCAGTCAGAGTCTTGGTTGGTTGTCTGACCATGCAAGTGTTTTCTGAAGTTGCGTCTCCTCCAGATGTTCAAGACAACATCACAAATCATCAGCCCTTCAAAAATGCCACAGAATGCTTTTCAGTCCTTGCTTCAAGTCACAGCAGAATTCTCTAGGGCCAATACTACCCAGTCCTTCCCTCATTTCTCCTTGATTTTAGAAAATGAGCAGAGATTCCAGTAAAAGGAAGGCTGTGCTTTAGAGAGTAGAACAGAAAACATGTCAGCAGATGAGAGATTCTCTCAGTCTTCCTCTGAAAGGAATGCAAGCAAAGGCTCCCCACCAAGACTCTGGGATGAGCTAGGGTTGCCTGCTCTCTAGGAAGCTGCACTTATTTCCTCACCCCTTTATCCCCAGCCCCCCCCCCTTGCTTGAGCAATGCAGCACCCACCCCCTCTCTTTATTATGTTTAGGATAATAATAAAGACTCTCAATGAGAGGAGGTTACTCCCTGGCCTGCTGCAATTCCCAATCTCCCCCTCCTCCTCTTGATCTCTACTTGCAGCTGAGGCTTTTGGTTTGGAAACTGAGACCGCACAGGTAACAAACTCAGCTGAAGGCTGGCCACAGGCCACCAACTTCTACTGTTGAACTCCAAAGTGTTTCCTTTCCTGCTAGTTGGTCAGTCTTCAGGCTCTTGCTTTATTTTGGCTGAGCCTCATTACATCATCATCTCTTTTGCCACATCCACCAAGCAGGTATAATTCTGTAAGCTCTTGAGAATGGAACAGTGGCTCAAAAAACAGAAATAGCTAGACCTCCAGGCTCAAATAATCCTGCCCCTTCTCCAAGTTCAGCCGCACCAAATTTGAACAGGACCTGAGGAAATTGACTTAAGATTTAAGAAAGCAAGATATGCCACCAAGAACTGCATAAAACATACCTGCAAACTGGTTTTTAATAGTAGAAATCAGTTCAGCTGGAATACACCTTTATAAAATTGCTAGTAGCAAACATCACAAATGTTGCCAAGAGGACAGTGAAGTATCTGTGTAGTTCTTACACAACTCAACTCAAAAATGGCTACTAAGGCTTTTGTTCTAGACTTAGTTCTTCAGAACTGAGTTACTCCAGGTGACAATCTATCAAATATTTCTCCACCAAAAAGAGAGCCTCCCCTTTCATTATGTGAGTCTCCTGCAGAAAAAAAGCTGAGATTTCTAAGCTTCTGGAAGAGACCTGGTTACTCATGAATGGCCCAGCCCCCAGATATAGCTCAGTGTTTCCTTGTCAAAATGTGCTGGATCCACTCTCTCTTTGGGTTCCAACTCAGTTCATTCTCAGCCTCTGCCAAGACCTTTCTGAAGGATCAGAAAAAACAGCAAAACAGCAGCAAAACAGTTGTTTTCTTTGAAAGTTTCATATTAGGTTTACGTGATTACATCAAACCCTGCCTAGACAGTGATCAGCTTCCTAAGTCTACTGTTCAATTTCCAGATGACCTTTGGTGCTCAGCATTGTGGTATAAGAATGTTTAAAAGAACTCCACCCTTTCCCACTGAGATTCCTTCCCTTTTAGTCCTAAGGCTCAGCCAATAGAATCTTTATGAGTTAATACCAGTTTCCTCCAAATGTGTCTATAGGCACCCAGGATGAAATCGCTATTGTTCATGGTTGAACTGATCAATATATGCAGATATATTTTTGCGCCTAGCTAACCTTGTTTGCATTCTGTAGTGAAGCAGAGTTTGGTCTGGTTAGTACTTGGATGGATGTCCACCAGAGAATTCCAGAAATTAAAGATTCTACAAATTAAACAAAACCCTGGAAGAAGGCAATATCAAACCATTTCCATACTCGTACACACTTCGTGCCCATGCAGTCATCAAGAGTCCAGCTCAACATGAAGGCATCTGTACCTAGTAACCACCTTTGGGATTTAGAAGGTATTGCACGAGCAATTGCTTAAATAGTTTTTCTCCATTTTGTTCACATGCAAACATCACTGCTAAGGTTTCCTTTCCTATTTTCTGTAGTTCTACAGATTGTTTGGAGCACCTTGGGAGAGCATCCCTTATATTGACACAATTACTTGTTCCTGTATATTTCAAACTTTGGCATAGATGCACTGGTTTAGAGACCTGCCTTGTTCTTGGGATGAGGTATTCCAGTGCTTCCACCTCTTGTATAATATTTTGGACAGCAACAAAACCACATGCCACTGTTAGATTATTGAGATTAAGAAAACTTGGCAATGGATACCATTGAGTGGGTTTGGTGAGTAGAACAAATACATTCTGGTACTTCAAAAATATTCCTGGGCTGAAAGACTTCTCCACCTGGCTCCACCGGTCATTCTCAAGGTTCTTAGTCCCTGCATGCCTGAGACCTGACCATTTCTCTTGGCTACTTGCCATCAGTTATCTCCTTTATTCAATGTTCAGTTCCTTTTCCAGGCATGTCTCAAACTTCCTGGCATTCTCCAGATGTTCTCATCCCTTTTTCCTGAACATCAAGATTGTTCGTTTCTGCACTGGGCAGGGAGTTGGACCACGTGATCTCCAAGATCCCTTCCAATCCCTACATTCCATGATTTTATGACCTTTTCTAAAAGAAAACTCAAGCTGTTATAAGTCATCAATCTTACAGATTGTTTTAAATAAGCCTTTAGAGATCAATTTTTAAGGTTCAGCTATACATTTTTCTTGTGATGCTTCCAAATGAGCCTTCTAACACATCCTGGCAAAGGCTCATTATTGTAACTTCAGAGAGCATCCAGATGTCACTGCCCCACTTTACCACCAGCCCATGTTGTATTTCTCTTTAGTCACTGTTTTCTTTGAACAATGGTTAGCCAGAAAGATCTGGAATGGAAATTTCCCATAGTTTCATAGCACTTGGCTCCTGTAGGTTTAGGGAAAGAGTTAAATTGTGCAGTGACCGTCTTCCTATCTCCTTCCTCCAAAAAGTATAAATATGCCCAAATGCTCATTGTATAATCCTTACACTGGAATTCCAGTATTTCTGTACTACATTCTTGCTATTCTGAAATGCACCTTTGCCCTGCCTTTTTATATCTTTCCAACTAGTAACAAATGTTTTAGAATAAATAAATCAATTTCACACACCTGAATGCATAGCCTTTAATGAAATGTCTTCTTGCCTTTGTAAGAACTGAACTATCTGGCATCAAAGATTCATTCATTTGTATCTTTACATTACAGCTTGAGGCTAATAAATAATTTATTATTACTGATGTTTCTATGCTGCTCTGCTCACAATAACTGAGTAGCTAACACAAAAATTACCTTATTTTTAGCATGGTGCTTGCAGAGCCTCCTCTCACAATCTCTTTCCCATCCCCTGAAGACCAAGCATGTTTAGTGAAAGGCACAGCCCTCTGGCTGCCATCTGCCTCCATTTCTCCACCCTGCTGCTAACTTCTCTGCAGAAGAAACCCATTCTCCTACTGCTGCTTATCCCCTCTGGGCAGGATCAGGCCAAGGTCCAGCATTTTGTATTTCAAGTTACTACTGGATGCCTCATAACCAAGAGGTGGAGACATCCCCTCTTCTGCACTCCTTCACCTGGGATGAGTATTTTGCTGCTCCCCTCTCTCCATCATAATAAAAATAATTTATTAAGTTTGTTTGCTGATTAACTCTCCACGCTTGCTAGATCTGTCCTTGATGAATTTATCAAATCTCTTTTTAAAACCAGCCTTTGCCAACACCTGCATTGTCCGATCTATCCATCCTATTGGTAACCATTTATATCCTTCCTATCCTTTAAGAAATTCTGTAAAGTATACAGAAGGCTACCTCCATCTTTTTGTAACAACACTACCAGTAGCTTAAGCTAAGAATAACTCAAAAGTTTATTTCATGCTGGAAGATCAGAAACTAAATCAGCTGATAATCAGGAGAACACTGTTTCAATTCTTCCCACAGAATTCTGTTCCTTTTGCCTTCTAAGTATTAGAGAGCCACAGAAACGTACATAGTGCCAATGTATTTATTTCTAAGCCTTTAACTGTATCATCTTCTGATCAGAATTTCATTCATCTGTGGCATTTCTGGCTTAGCTCTTGTGTTAAAATTTAAAGAACAGCCCTTAGGCACAATATAACTTGAAGATTAAGCTCTATTATCTAGAGTTCCAGGAGAATTGCTTTGTTAATATGCTAATGTTTTTTTCTGGGTCCATATCCCATTTAACATTTTATGTTTATTGTCATCACTGGAGAAAAACAGAGGTGAAACATGTTGTGCACCTAAAAATGTTTATTTTCTTATTTTTATTATTAGATTGTTCTGAATGTTAAAAAATGTCTATATTCAGGAGAAAAAAAATTCCCTCCAGGTCTGGGGGCTTCAGCCTCTTTGAAGCCACTTTTCATGCCTCTCAATTTACTTTTACTCCACAAACCTTTAGCAAGCAGCCATTCAAAGAGCGCCGGACGCTGAGACTTTCTCCAAGAACTTTGAGCAGCAAACTACATTCACACATACAGGTGTATTTCTAACGGAGAGGTAACATTTTTTCTAGCTGGCTGAGATGGGGGTGTTATTGGCATCCTCCAGTGCTGACAATACAGACAAGCTCCTCCAGAACTTGCTTCTTCGCTCCGACCACCGGGAACCTGAAGCTCCGCGAAGCCCTCCGTTTCTCGCAGCGGCCGCAACCGCGACGCAGCAAACGCCCCCGGTTTCCCTGGTTCCGCTTCTGGCCGGCCTTTCCCGGCCCGCCTCTCCCCCACTCGCGTCTGACGCACCACCGTCGGCGGCCCAGCAGCGAACCTTAAAGCCGCGCAGACCGAGGAGCGGAGCAGCCAGGGCGCTCCTGCGGCGCCTGGATCGGGGCAGCTCCCTCTTCCCACGCACGTGCCCCGGCCCG